CACCCATGCCACACGGCACACCTTCACACACCACACACATACTCTGCCTCACGTCACATCCCCCCCACACACTGTTGCACCCACGCGCTCCACACGCATGGAGGACTGTAGGAGCTGCTCCTCCCTTTCCCGGGTCATCATGCCACACTGTCCTTACTCCCAGCTACCCTATACTCATCTTTGAGCAGATGCTCCTGCTTCGCTTCGCTGAGAAAACCATCTGGCACGACTCACTCAACTCCCTTCTCCCCTCCCCCACCCCAGGCAAAGCAGTCAGCCTTCATCTCATCCCCATACCCCACCACCCAGCCCTGGACCCTCTGACCCCCTTCCTGAGCTCCCACTCCCAGGCCCACCCTGGGAACTCCTTCCGTGGGTCTTGTCCTTGCCGGTGTGCAGTTAGTTTCTCCCTGTCCGATCTTCCTTGCTCAGCTCCTGCTCAACCTCCCGCCCATTCCCAAAATTAATAATCAGCTCTCCCTCAGGGTGCTGCCACTCTGGTCAAAATATATCACTCTTTCAGCAAAACTAAAAGGCAACCAACAGAATGGGAGAAGATATTTGCAAATGACATATCAGATAAAGGGTTCGTATCCAAAATCTATAAAGAACTTCTCAAACTCAACACCCAAAAAACAAATCATCCAGTGAAGAAATGGGCAAAAGACATGAATAGACACTTCTCCAAAGAAGACATCCAGATGGCCAACCGACACATGAAAAAATGCTCAACATCACTCATCATCAGGGAAATAAATACAAATCAAAAGCACAATGAGATACCACCTCATACCTGTCAGAATGGTCAGCATTAACAATTCAGGCAACAACAGATGTTGGTGAGGATACAGAGAAAGAGGATCTCTTTTGCATTGTTAGTGGGAATGCAAGCTGGTGCAGCCAGTCTGGAAAACAGTATGGAGGTTCCTCAAAAAACTAAAAATAGAACTACCCTATGACCCAGCAATTGCACTACTAGGCATTTACCCATGAGATACCAGGTGTGCTGGTTCGAAGGGACACATGCACCCCCATGTTTACAGCAGCACTATCAACAATAGCCAGAGTATGGAAAGAGCCCAAATGTCCATCGATGGATGAATGGATAAAGAAGATGTGGTATATATATACACAATGGAGTATTACCTGGAAATCAAAAAGAATGAAATCTTGCCATTTGCAACTACGTGGATGGAACTGGAGGGTATTATGCTAAGTGAAATTAGTCAGAGAAAGACAAAAATCATATGACTTCATTCATATGAGGACTTTAAGAGACAAAACAGAGGAACATAAGGGAAGGGAAACAAAAATAATATAAAAACAGGGAGGGGGACAAAACAGAAGAGACTCATAAATATGGAGAACAAACTGAGGGTTACTGGAGGGGTTGTGGGAGGGGGGATGGGCTAATCGGGTAAGGGGCACTAAGGAATCTACTCCTGAGATCATTGTTGCACTATATGCTAACTAACTTGGATGTAAATTTTAGAAAATAAAAAATAAAAATAAAGAAATATATCACTCTTCTTCCCTTCAAATTATCTTCAACTGTGACCTCCCCTTCCTCAGTTCCCACTGATTCAACTGCCCTTATGCATACGCACACACACACACACACACACACACACACACACCACTGTGCAAGCTGCTCCCTTCACTCCACTCAAACTGTTCTCACCAAGGTCACTATCAACCCTCATGTTGCAAAATCCAAGGTCTCTTCTCTGTGCTCACGGTTGCCAGCTGCACCACCCCCACCCCAAACAGTTCTTCCAACCAGGTGACTCACCCTCCCTGAGAACCATTTTCTCCTTTGCCAGATAAAATACAGGACACCAGTTAAAATAAACTCTCAAACAACAAATAATGTTTTAGTATAAGTATGTCCCAAATATTGCATGGGACATACTTATGCTATTTTTTTTTTTTGTCTATCTGAAATTAAAATTGACTGGATGTCCTGCATTTTTACTTGCTAAATATGGTAACCCTACTCCCTGCTTCTCTACCCCATGTGTCCCCACCCTGCTGTCCCTTCTTTAGCTCCTCCTCATCAGCCTGCTCCACAGTGGTTGGCCTTGACTGCCTTCTCTTCTCAAACTCCCTGATCTCTGGGACAGCTTCTCCCACACCCTCGAGCCCAGCTCCACTCGAAGCTGGGCTTGCCCAGAGTCTCTAAAGCCCTTCTCTCTTTAGATCCTACTGCAGGACCCGCTGCTCCTCTGTAGTAACAGCAGATTGCAATGCTGGGGGCGGGGGCGGTGTGCGCACAAGCACACAGTAGGAAAGACCGTACCTGCCCAGCCTGACAAGCAAGGCTGCCTCTTTGTTGCCTTTGTCCTCTGTTACCCAGAAACGTGCTGGTCAGGTGTGACAAGAAGGAGCTAGCTGTCATCCGTCCTCACCTCCTCCCGCCGAACTGCCTACTCCCTGCCGCCACAAGCTCTCTGAATGTCCACTCGTGCTGCTCCTCCTGAACACCCTCTCCCAAATTCTCCTTGTTGAAGTGCCCTCTTTTCTGCAAGTCTAGCTCAAGGGCCCCTCCTCCCAGGTTTCCCTGGGTCTCCCCGCTCTCCCTCCCTTGAGCACCCGATTGTGTTATTTGCAGCCTTGTCCAGATCAGTAAATTGGGGGTTCACCAACTGCTGAGACCATGTCTTGTTGACCCCCGTGTTCCCTGGGCACGGCCTGGTACACAGTTGGTGCCCAGCCAGTGCTTATTGAATAGAGGAGTGAATGACTGACTAAATAAGAGAACAAGTGACAGAATGAATAAGCACATGCATGAGTAAGTGAGGGAGGAAGACTCAGTGAGTAGATGGAGGGGTAGGTGGGTGGATGGACAGATGGATGAACGGATGGATGGATAGTGGTTAGATAGGTGGGTAGATTAGCAAGTGAACAAATGAGGAAAACTCAGGGCTTGATATGATGCCCATCACCTGCAGAGTGAGGTCAAGCTTCCTACTGTTGCTTTGTTTTCAGAGTCATGTGATTCCAGCCTGCAGACCCTCCTTCCACTGACCCAGCGAGGTTGTGACCATGAGCACAGGGACAGAGCTCTGGGCCTGGGGTCTTGATACCTGCGTCCAGCTGAATGGCACCTGACCTGGAACAGAGCTTACTTTGCTGGAGGGCAGAGAGAGACCAAGGCTTACTTTTTCTCCCTTCCCAGGCCTTGCACTGCTGTCTCTGCCCACCTGGAGCTTCCATGCCCAGGTATATCATTGTGTCTAGACATGCTTGCCCACCTCTCATACCTGGGAACCTCTGAGAACAGGCCCCTACTGAGCTCTTTAAAGACGCACCACCCAGGACCCCCTCAAGGAAGGATTCAGGGGCAGCCTCAGCTGCAGGGCTGCTCTGCCTGAGGCTGAACCTTAGGGGACAGGGAAGGGGGCCGCTAGCACTCAGAGACTGAGCAGAGGTAGGAGGCACATATCAAGGTCCTGCCTCATAATTTGACCTTTTCCTCTATCTAATCCTGCACTCTCCTCCTTCCCCTCATGGATAATGATCCCTATAAACCCCAAACTTTGTCTCCGTGTTCATTTGAGGAGAACACAACCTGCAACAGTTCCCTTCACTCAGTCTCTGGGTCCTCTTTGCAGCCGGTTTCCTTCCACGTGCATCTACGAAGACCCTGTTTGGGGGCTTTCAGGTCCAGAGTGACCAAGACAAGGTTCCCAGGAGCTCCCGCTCCTGGGCAGTCAGTGCCTCTCCCTTCCCCGTGCTCCCCTGCTCCATCCCTCTCCACCAGCCTCTCCCCCTGGCCCCTTCCCCCTCTGCACCTCTACAGCCCCAAGCCTCTCTCTGAGAGCCCTTCCTGCGGCAGCCACAAGGCCAAGATGGCCTGTCTAGGTACCCGTAGAGGCCAGACCCCTGTCAGGGTCAGTTTTTCCCTCCTCAATAAGCAGGTCCTAGGAGAGGCATCCATTCAAGGCAGGATGGAGATGTATGAGCCAGGAGAGCCAGAAGTTTGCGTCCTTCAAACCATATTCTAAACCTGGCACAGCCTTCATTTCCTGCTACAGAGAAAACAGATTTTCTTTTAATGAAAACTGAGCATGTCTTTATTTGTGATGAAAACAAGAGCTTTGCTACATGCGCTCAATGTAACACAACATTTTAACGTATTTGGAATTATCTTGCAGCTCATGATTTTTCTATCATTCCTAAGTGATGGAAGTCACTTACATTCTCTGAGAATAGAAGTGACCTATAAGAATATAGTAAGAAAGTCTCAAAGTATGTTTCAAAGTCTTCTTTCTGGCGTTGCTGTTAAGAAAACATCTTGTACTTGCTGTGACTTTCTTTTTCCTCTTGATTCTTGACCTTGATTCTTTTCTGTTGATTCTTGAGACGTCTATGAAGGGGTATACATTTTCAATCATAAAATAAATCATGTGTTCCCAGGAAGCAGCCCTTTGGTTTCAGGATCTCAGGGCTGATTCAGGCAACTGGCAGGAGACAATTCTCGGCATCAGGTTCTTTGCAATGTGCACTTGCAAGTAACAAAACGACTCAATCAGAAGGGAGATAAAAACATAAAAATGTCTACTTGAGCTCGCTGTTTCTTCTGGTGGCCAGAGAACCAGTGTCACAGGCATCCCGGAGTAACCTGAGTGAACCAGCACTCTGTTTACAATAAATTCCAGTGACATCTCGGTCCCCCATGTAAATCAGAAGAGCTGGCTCACCGTGCAATCTGACACTGCCCAGCAGTCACTCTTCAGGCCTCTCCTAAGCCCCATCCTGTGGGAAGGGTCCGGCTGAGCTCTCAGGGGTCCAAGCTGAATCCCGTCTGGTCCCACCGCTGCGGATCTCCCAGGCTGGAGGGCACAGCAAAGTGAGATGGGATGGGACGGGGAGCTTGCAGAATAGAGGCAGGGAAGGACAGGAATGCAGCATTGGAGGAGTAGGACACCGGGGAAGGCTCGCTGGGTGATGAGTGAATCTGACCCACCAGCAGAACAAATCCTGGGGACTGTCAGGCCTCACATGAAGGTCCAGAAGTCCCGGGCACCCACCACTGGTTGGGCATGGTGACCTGGCCCCGTGAAGAAAGAAGCCTCCTGGCAAAACGTGGCCACTGTAAAGCTGTGGCCGGGCCCCCCCTGAGGATCCTGGGTCCTTGAGTCACAGCTGAAGCAGCACAGGATGCAGGTGATGGCTACGGTGACCACAAACAGCACGGCCACCACTCCGATCACTGCTGTTTCCATGGCCCCACGTGGCAGATGACCGGCTGAGCCCTAGCTCCCCATTCAAAACAGGGTGCCCTTGGTGGTGGCAGGCACTCTGCCCTTCCAGCCGCTCTCCTTGTGGTCTCCTAAACGGATGCTGGTCTGAGGCCCTGGGTCACGGCTCTTCTGGGCCACGGGGCACCCCGCATGCTGCTACTCAGACCTCGGTGGGTCTCTGTTATTGTTTTCTAAGCCTCTGGTCTGGATTCCAAGAACTGTGGTCAACTCCGCTGGCGACTTCTGGAAGAAGAGCTGTCCTGAAAGATGTGAGCACAAGACTTCCTGGACTTGGAGGGGCTGGAAAGAAGGAACAGAAGACTTTGCTCAGAGGGAACATTGCCAACCCTGCCCCCTGGTGACGCCTACAGATTTCAAGAGTTTGTCTTCTCAGACAAAAGACAAGATACTCCGCCTCCTGGGGACCCCGGATGAGCCTGGGCTCCGCCCCTAGAGGAACCTTGGGCCAGTCCTTGAATCAGCCTATCCGATGCCTCCTGAGCTCCTGGACCTGAGCAGGGGCAGGAACGCAGGTGGGGAGAAAGGCTCTGTGCCAGGTCGGGGTGGAGGCACTGCCAGGTCACCACAAGGACCATGGGGCCTTTGGCAGGGGGCTGTGGTCCCTTTCACTTGGCATCCTTTTCTGCATGGGGTGGGAGAGCGCTATCTAGATAGGGCAGGATCCAAACCCCTTCAGTGATTCACTATGGGGCTCCTTCACCCTGTGGTTCCTGTTCCAGGAGAAGCCGTCTTCTGAATGGCCTCCCCGCTCCCCAACCCTCTTTGCTGCCTGCTCACACTCGGATGCTGTGAAAACTTACCCAGGGCTTCTCCAAGCGACGGAGCCGGCAGTGGTGCCATGGCCTCCTGGCCTGGGGGCCACCCCAGGGGCCAGGCCACGGCACACTCATCCCTGGGCGCTGCAGCCTTGGTCCCGCTTGGGACAAGGCTCTGAGATGTCTGAGCAGCTCTGAGAACTTCCTGGATTCCTTCCTCCAATTGTGAGTGTGGGCCCAGGACCTGCACAGCTGCCTGCCCCCTCCGTGACTGCACTTACCCCACCCCCCCACACACCCACACCATTGCAGCCTGGCAAGGCAGGCTCTCCACTTAGCCCATCCGGGTGAGGGGCCAGCCGGGCCAGGCCACCCAGGAAGTCTGCCAGAAGGGCTGCCTCCTGACCGCCACCCGGTCCCGGCTCTTCCACAGCTAACCGCCTGAGACGACCCCACTTCCAGAAAGGAGGCTGGATTGCCGGTCCCACTTGACCCAAACTCTGAGAAACAGAGCAGTGAGGAACAATGCTTCCAGGTACCAGGCACAGGGTTTCTTCAGAGTTCTCCAAGGCCCCAGTGAATTTTCTTTAGTACCAGTTTTAGGAAGTTGCTAAGTGCAGGATGAGAGAGCAACTATTTGGACTAAATGAGGCCTGTCATATTCTCACTCTTCCCTTTTCCAGGATGAGCTCCGGGCTCTTCCTCTGCATGAACAGCATTGGGCAAGCCGGGCCCATGGCAAACCTGGACACCTCGGACTATTTGTGTTAAGTAGGGCAGCCAGAGCAGAAAGGAAACATGATGTGCCAGTCTGGGGCGCATGGTTTCAGACTGAATCACCAAAATCAACTCGCCAGTTCAGGAGACAGAGGGCACCAGAGGAATCCGGTTTCAAACTGAATTATTTGTTTCTTTGAATTCTCGTTTGCCTGGTCTTTGTGGACGCATGTAGTTGGAGGCCACCCGTTGTAGATGTGTGTTTTTCAGCATGTGTGTTTATTCCTGGAATAAAGGACAATTGCTCAGCCCTCTTGTCTTCTGCCTTGGATGGGTTTCCTTATCTGTTTCTGAGATTGGGGCCCCTTCTCTGATTCGCCAGTAAATTAGGCCTTCTGATCCATTCTGACAACAGACATTCAATAGTTGAACACAGGCTGTGTGGCACAATGAGAGGGCCCCAGGGATATTGTGAGGACAGGTCCAGTCTGCTACGAAGCTCCTCAGGGTTGCATATGATGTCACACCCGCAGTCTGCAACATGGAATGACCAACACGGCATCTCAAGCCCAGGGCACAAGGAGCCATCCTTGATGAAGATGGACAGGGTGCAGATACTTTCACCACAATGCCCACTCAGTTCAGGGTCCTTGCCTTCAACTATCCCCCAACAGCCCTGTCCTGTGATTTAAGCGGCAGCGGCATTCTCAGGCGAGTTGGAAAGATCAAGACAGCCATACATGTTTACTACTGCTCAGAGACGTTTGTGCTAAGGGCTTTTTTCTGGGTATCTTCTCCTCTTCTTGTGACTATTGTAATCCTGTAATATACAGCCCCTGACCATGGACCCCAGACGCCGTGGGACTTCCCAAGATAACTACCATTTAGATACATATGTGTCGCTCACAGCCACCATCATCAACTGATCAGAAAAAGACACATCCCTTACTTTCCCTTACATTAGAAGGGGAAAGATGATGGCAGACATCCTAAAGCAGAGAGAATAGAGCTCTCCCAGAGACTCCAGGCCACATTTAGGAAAGGCAGGCCATCCGAGACTGACACAGGGCTACATAAAGAGATGAGGGAGGGAGAGGGGACGTCCAAACCAGCAGGCCCACCCACGTCCATCTGTTAAATGTTTCCCACTTTTCCGGCTCCCAACACTGGGGATGGAGGGGGAGCACAAGCCCCCTCAGCAAGGGCCCCAGGAGCTCAGAGGCCTAATCCCCTCAGGGTCCTGCCATACTTGGTGTCCCTCAAGCCCCAAACTTCTGGCAGCGGTTATTCCGATCATATTTACTTTTCCAGAGAGCATGACGTTCTGAGAATTTTTCCTGAGCATCTGTTGTGTGGGCTGGTTCTGCACTGGGGGCAGGGAGCCCTCAAAGTTTCTTAGATGCATGAGGGCAGGGGCCCTTGAATCCTGCCATAAATCTCTGGGGGAAGAGACAGATGTATTCAGTGTTCCACCAGAAATATAAAAATAAATATGAATAACAAATTGGAAACCCATAGGAGGGAGCAACAAATTCTTCTTGGGCAAAGACACAGAGAGGGGAAAGTACAAGGTGTTTTCTGGGGCCAATGACCAGAGCAGTGTGGATAGGACAAAAGGAGCAAGGGACAGGGACCAGACCAGGGGCCTTTAATAACCAACCAGGAGGCAGGGACTTCACCCCTAGGGCTATAAGGCGTTTCCGCAGATCCTGCAGGCCGCGGTGCAGAGATGCTTCAAAAAGGGCAGGGCTGGACATGGGCAGGAGTCCAGATTGGGGGGTGGGGGGGAGGACAAGCTAGGACAGACTCGGGAATGCTGGAGGGGAGGCAGATTTGAAGGACGCTGCAGAGATAAAATCAGCAGTACGTGGTGACCCGTGACCTACTTTCCCAGCCCAGAAACCTAGCACGGCTGTCAGTGTGGATTTGCCTCCCTCTCCCCCTTACACCTCCAACCCTCACAGAGAATCCACCAGGAACTAGAAAAGAAACAGGATGTTCTGTTCCAATGAGTCACCAAGCCCCTGACTTTCTGGCCCGTTCTCGAGCCCCTCCCCACCACCTCTCCTGGCCCCTAAGGCTCTCCTCTCTCTGCTTCCCACCCAAGCCCAGGCAAGGCCTCAGGACAAGATTTCCTTCCTCCCTGTGGAATTGTGCCAGCTATTCATGGGGTATTTAGAACATGCCTCCAGGCTTTGGCAAGAAGAGGTCTCTGCTATCGATCCATTTTACGGAAGAGGAAACTGAGATCCTGGGGAGACAAGCACTCTCCCAAGGCCACCCAGCACCACCTCCTCCAGTTTAAAGAGCCTCCCAGCCCCTCTGCTATACACAGGAACCAGTGGGTCTGGGAGCTGGAGCCTCAAGGCTTGGATAAGAAACCCTGATCGAGTTATCAAGGAAACACTGAATTCAACACAGCTCACAGACTGGGGCTTCTGCAGGTCCCAGGGTTCAGTCTGCCCCGGAGATGCACTGGAAAGAGCACTGGAGAAAGAGCCCTTGGTGACCAGCCTGGGTGGCCTCACCCCTCTTCTCTGAGCCCCTGGACTGTCCCACAGAAGCCCAAAGCCCCCCTGGTACACAGAGAGCCCTCTCTAGGCAGGGCTGCGTGCAAACCCCACGTCCTCCCTCAGAGCTTAGGCCCCAAGCTTTTCTCTCCTACTGCCCTTGGAGCACCACAGGGCCTGCCCAGTTTCCCCCAGGGCACGGCCAGCCCTCAAGCAGCAGGCATAAGCTGCCAGTGCCAGGCACTCACTTCTCACCAGAGAAGGATGTTCCCAGGGCATTGCAGACACATGCCTGGCGGCTCGATCCTTCTCTCCCACTCGAGCTGTACGATCAAGAGCCTCTTCACAAAAGCTTCCTCGTAGTTTTTATTTTCTTGTATTAAGGCACCAGTGAATTGACCTTGCAGCCTCATACTGTCTTCTCCAAACACAAGGCATTGCTGTCCCCTCCCAGCTACGCCCCTGGCCAGGGCCTGAGTAAATCAGAGGACAGCACTTCAGAGAGCACGGTACATCTTCTGTGCATCCACATGCACTGGTGTCCCCTGGGAGTTACAGTCACAGGCAGGGTCCATCTCCAAAGGACCATCTCTGCTCTCACCTTGTTACCTTCCAGTGTGTGCAGGGCCACCCCTGTATTCCTCACTTCTCTCCTTATAG